TTTTTTTTCCCCCCTTTTTTGTGGTTGGATTTTTTCTTTTTGAAAACATTTTGAACCAGCAAAAAAATTCCAAAAACTACGTGCTGAAAAAACATAAGAGAATGAGTAAATCAACGGCGGAACGGAAAGGGAGAGAGAGAGAGAGCAAAACATCCCCATGCTCCACCAACACATCACCCAGCTAAAAGCTTCCCAAGCCGGAGGAAAGAAACTCTCCCTCCGGAGTCTTCAGACAAAAGATCAGAGACTCAAACTCCTCTGGTCCCGGCGCCTCCCCTGCCCGGAGCAGCCAGCGCCCTCCCGTCCCACGAACTGTGTATATAGCGGCCCTCTCCTTCCTCCGGCGAGGTGGGGAACGAGGTTTTCCTGGATTGTCGGTGTATAGAAGTTCGTCCCGTTTGTAAACCGCGGATTGGTCCCTTTCTTCTTCTTCTTCTTCTTTTTTTTTTTTTTTAATCTTTCTTTTTTCCCCCTCTTTCTCCCTCCCCGAGAAAGTGATGGACTTGTTTTCTTTTCTCCCGCTCTCCCTCCCCACTTCCTTCTCTCCTCCTTTTTTAGTTCATCCCTTTTAAAAAAAAAGTAACGTGGAAGAAAAAAAATGGTTTCTTTTGTAATTGTGATATCTTGAATATTGTGTTCCTTTTTAAGAAGCAACTTGATTGTAAACTGCATTTCAACGATAGACTGGGGAAGAAATACCGTGCCAAAGTCTCCATTCTGTTACTCACAGACACACACACGAACAACAACGCTTGTGAATGTATTTTTCTGTTAGCTGGGTTTACATGTGATGTTTTAGTGCTTTTGCAAGTTCAATTTGTTAGTTCCTGTTCGGAAGATTGTGAGGAAAAATAAACGTCGTGCCGTTAGCTTTTCCGTAATAACGCCCTTCCTCCTGTAAATACCTGTTACCATATTTATCCATTTGTAATTAAATTATGGTATTAACTTGCTACAGAGGAAACAGTATTTATAAAGAATGTTTCTTAACTATAAATATGTACAATTGTGAGCATAAACTGTTTCAGATTTTTTATTTGAAGGTTTAAGTGGTTTCATCATTTCTTGTGATATGTTTTGAGAGTAATGCATACAGAAATATAATAAAACGTGTTGAAACTGCACGAGCTGTTTCCTTTTTATGCCAAAGGCTCTCTAAAACCTGCTGTAAGGTATGTGATGGGCTGAGCGGCGACTGCAAAACAAATGTTTTTAAAACTTCCGCTGCTTACTGGAAGAGGAGGATTCCTTCCAGCTGGGCTCTCCCGTCCAGAAGGAATAAAAGGGGAAAAAAAAAAAAGAAAAATGCAAAAAAAAAATAAAGCCACAAAAGGCCCTAAAACTTTGTGAAGGTTCTGAACTGAAAGAAAAGGGTGAGGGAGGATATGCATATTCTCCAAATGACTTTCAAGGCAGGATCTCCTTTACTAAGATATTTACCCGGCAAGAGCACATCTTCCTCCGGCTCCTGCCTTCCTCGGGCTCGCCCCTCTCTCCCCGGTGCGTGTCTGGCTGGGGGATCATTGCCCCAGAGAAACAGGGGCGTTTCGGGACGAGGTGGAGGGGCAGTGACAAGGCTCTGAGCTCGGCTCTTTGAGCCATAGATGGTCCTTGCCTCCCGTGTTGTCATCTTTTTGGCAGCCTCCGTACAGCCCGGAGAGAAGGAAGTTGTGATGACCGAGAGATCACATTTCCCCTTCGAATTTTTTCTCTCTCTTTTCAAAAAATTGTATTTTATTTATTTTATTGTATTTGAGCCCAGAGGGCGGTTTGGGTTGTCAGATGTGTTCGGGGAGGGACGGCGAGCGGCCGGCCGATGGTTTTCCCGGGATGCTG